TTACACTCTCCCACATTAAGATTGAGAACATTTACAGATCCAACCGATTATTGCCTCAATGAGGCTCGCGTGTCCACTAGACACTGCAACTTGCTTCATTGGAATAAAACGACTTCCGTGCTCAATGAGCCCTGTGCCAACGACACTGAAGTCACCAAGTCTCGCTGGTTCTGACAGCGAACACGAGCAGAGTTCAACTTCGTCTCCCGCACGCGGTGCAATGTCGGACAGTGCGTCCGCGGCACCGGGGGATGTACATCATCGGCTCGATGAGCACGAGCGTCGCGCTCCGCGCACGCTATCAGTGTCGAATGACCTCGTTGAGGATGTGGAGGTGGTCGACGACGAGTCTGACACTCCTTTTATGGGATGACGATGAAGGTGAGCCACGCCAGCAGCGTGATACGAGCCCTGTACGCGCCTTGCGTACCCCATGTCTGTTTCCTGATTTCATGTCGCCTGAGAGACGTGGTGTAATCACCAATAAACTCGACGGGGCACAGAGGCAACAGCTGGAAGCTGTCCGTAAAGCGGCTCTGAAGCGCGCCCATCCACGGCCGGTCATTGACCCTCGTGTGGGACATGGCTTCCGCCCAGCGGATCCCGCTGTGGAAGCGAAGGACGCGGTAATTCGATTGTTACGCGTCCACATCATCGGGCCCACGGCCAGAACGGACTCCGTCCCGTTGCTGGTTTAGCTTCTGGGTGGCCGACGGCCCTCGGGATCCGCTCCGGCGCCAACGCTTCCGCGTACACTGGGGCCGGATCCCGATACGGCTTGAGCAAGCCCACGTAAAACACCAGGTGGGTGCGCATCCGTTTGGGGTAGTTCAGATGTCCACCAAACCCGTTTGGTTACACCCTTAAACGGTCCGATAAACCGTGGACGAAGCTTCGTCCTGAAGATAGCAAAGACTGCATGTGTAGACAGGTTTCGATAGTTTTAAAAAAACTAGTCCCCGTCCTTAAAGCATTCCACTTTGCCTCTTCCTTTTTCATCTACATATTCTTTTTGCAGGTCTTGGCTTTCAGCCATCGCATCGCGAACGTGTCGTAGGACAAGGACACTCAGTCTGGTAGACAAGAAGTCATCGACTTCTTTGCGGATGGTGAGGGGGATGACATTAGTTAGCCGTTCGGCTATTCCCTCCCCCACTAAGCCCTGAGCCGTGGGATGGCGGCGTCAGTGGGACGCGAGGGTGAATCAGTCCGTTCACGTAGAGCGGCATGTAGCCGGTAGGCGAATGCACTACATTGTTCGGTGCAAAATCTACGAGTGGCAACATGGCGCTTTAGCGCATCGGCGTCTCAGCGCAGACGCTGCGAAGAACGTCATCGATGACGCGATTCACCCTTTCGGTTTGACCATCGGTCAGCGGATGATCCGCGGTCGACATATTCAACTTGGTGCCTAGCACCTTTAAGAGAGTCGATCAAAATTTTCCGTGAAACAGAGTTCTCTATCAGAGACAATCGACTCTGGGAGTCCGTGTCGTCGGAAAACACGATCCACGAACACGTCGCTGTATCGACCCCGTCTATGGTGTCTGGCACCGCCGCTGAATGAACCATCTTGCTCAACCGGTCGACGAATACCACGACTTCCGTGTTGCCCGCCGAATCTTTCTACAGACAAAACACAAAGTCCAAACTCATAA